AGTGGTGCAGTTCCCGAATCTCGCATTTGAGCTCTTTCGATGCCCATGCTTTTCTTTGATTTCATTTTGAAGGAGTCGACTAATTGCATGCTACGTAGTAGGATCACCGTATCGACTCTCCCAACTGAAAAATTCTTTCTTGGTGAGACAAACGTGTGAGCTGAACCATCTCGACCCTCCCAACCACAACAACGACTAGAGTGCGTCAAGAAAATACAGCATGTAGATACAATCGCAGTCGCTGAGCTGGAGGGTGGGGGAAGGGTGGCGTGGTGGATGTCTCCAACCAACAATCAGAAATAGTAGCTTTGCCGCGTCGCCAACACCTGGTAGGCAGACTAGTATACACCGCCCATTGGAGGAGTATAGTCTACAGTCCGGTAAAAAATGTTTTCGAGTCCATTCACGATGCCCGTCTCCCACAGCGACCTAGTGCTGCCCATTAGGTTTCCCATAACGATGATGTGTCCAGACGAAACGGTGTTATCTTGGCTCCACCGCGACGTGTGGCATGGGGAGGCGGTCGTTTGGCGCGATCACATTACAGTTGGCTTTTTTGACAGGTAGTAGTACGTGCCTACAAGTTGGATAACCAGGGCACATCGTTGTTGGGCAGGCCCCAACAGGGGGGGGGGTCGTATTTGGTCGCTGGGAGAAGGAAGGGGGTCGTGGGCTGAGAGAAGTTTATTTTGATAGTTGATTTTACTTTTTTCAAGGACGTTCCAAAAGGGGAGGGGATCGTATCCCTTCTGACCTGACTTTACGTGATTTTTCCTGTTTCATGTTTACTATATACTCAACTCGACAGCAGAATTTTTGGGTAAGAGTACAGAAATTTTCGGGAAATTACTGAAAAGTGGTAGGAAGTTGGGGGAAATCCAAGAAAATGGAGAGGGGTGGCCGTATTTCCCTCGTGGCTTTTCCCGTCTCATATCGTATTTACCCCTCCCTCTCTCCGCTCGATAGCTCGATGTGGAATGAACCAGGGGTCGTGCTATCCTCCCCTAAACTGGGGGGGGGGGGGCGTACACACTCGACCAAAATCTCCAACCAATGATGTGCCCTGTGGATAACTTTACCGAATCACTGAATTATAAGGTTTTCGCGAATTAAAGCTCTCCAGAAGTCGTGACCGAAGTCGTGACTGTTGCCTTTTGCGCTCATAATTTTAAGCCAAGTTTTCTTCCAATGACCAGTTAAGGAAATACCCTTGTTTGAAAGTTCGGACAAGTTGCTTCACCTAGAAGTCGATTTGCCTGACATGTTTCGACGTGTAGGGGACAACAAAATCGCGCCAAATGGCATACACCCTGTGGCATGTGCAGAAGTCGAACCGCCGGAACAATGCCCTCCCCCCAACTAGAGGTGACGGCGCAGTATCGCCTGTGGCTATGATAAGGCGGTTGGTCGTGCAGCCTTACGTCTTTGTGGCGCGTTTTGCTTGTGGGCGGAGACATCAAAGAGTTCCCAGGTATCACAACTATCCAGCATCACCGTCATTTTCAAATCACAGGCATTTTCGATCTTTAAATGTCCTTTTGCGAAATGTTTCGAGCCCTACTTCAATAAGACGCAGTTTTTTGGCGCACAACCATCGGCAAGAATTCAAAACCGCGACAAGATCACCCACTACGAAGCACATTACCTACTAGAGATAAGCAAAAATCTTTATTCTTCTCACCAACTGATTGTTTCTTACTGCAACAATATGTGTCCCAGGCGGAAATTTCCCCACCCCCTTAGAAATGGCGTCGCTCCGCGCGCGAAAAAGGCTTGGACCTCTGTAATCCCTGATCAACAAGTCACAGTTGCATTTCTACGAAACAACAACCCAGGGCATCCAGGAAACCGGCTATTTCTTGAGAATTCCTCAGCACAAGCGGAACCTGACCAGCTTATCCAAAACTAGAGAGGCAGGGTGCAGACGCAGAGAGCTCGGCGAGACAACATGCGGTGCCTAGGATACGCAGAGTTTCGGCAAGTGACGCAGAGTTGTGACTACGGGTCGTCGTCGTGTGGTACGACGGTCGTCAGAAGTTCTATTTGACGTCGTGACCTACCGTTAGAAGACGTCAGGCGGATGGAGAATCCGCTGGTGGCCGTCATTACATCGTCGGCTGTTGAATCGCGGGTCAAAAAGCGTGGATTCATCTCGATTTCACAACTATTGCAACCGTTCGCCACACATTCAGTCAACGTCAGGGTGAGTACTATTTTTCTACAGGCTTTATTCTTTCGAGAATAGGTTTTTTTGTAGGAGGAAGGGCTCCTATATGTGAATTTAATAACGTTAATACCCTCGTTAGCATTTTATGCTTTGCTGGCCAAAACGTAGCAATTCAGCCGCACTAAAAATCCAGCCGGTCTTAAAACGTCTGAACTGAATCTGAAGCTCGAGTTGTGCGCTGAGAATTTTTCGCTAACCTTAGGCTTCGCGATAAATCTCCCGGCTGTCTGTATTACGTCGAGTCGCAATCCTATTGAGCTTCTAAATTTTTTATGAAATGACTCCAAGGTTTCTTGCTTCAATATTCACGTTAGTATAGTTCGCCTCTCTTATCGAGAACGTGATATAGTCTTGTTCACTGAAGGTGGAGGGGCGTGCCAGGCGATTTGAGTCTGGCGCAGCGTCGAACCCTTTCTCCACCACGCTTAAGCAGGCAACATTTGGGGGAAAACGACTGATACGAACGATGTGATTGGATTTTGTCGCTTGCTCCCTTCAACAACTTGTAGAAAATGGGTTTGGCGCCGCGCCGAAGCCATCGCGCCTGACACGCCCCTACATCCGCAGCGAACAAGACTATGCTGCCCTCCTAGCTTATCGCCTGACGCCATCCTAGGTTCGCGTGCAGTTGAGGTGCGCCATGAATACCAAATACCCTCGTCAGCTATAAAAGAAAGAACAAGAACCTATAAATATTCAGAGAGGTTACATTACACGAGAAGGAAAAAGACGTCAAAATTTTAAACAAATCTCTCGGATTTCAAGCAGGAAATAAATTTATGGTGGACTTATTTGCCTATCTCATTTTACGCCTCAGAGTAAATTGAATGCAAAGAGCCACCAAGGACAGGAATCATATAAGGATTTTGCTCACGATATTTGTGTGCGGTAAGCTGTACGGTCAGTTCGGTCTAACAGTTGAAGGTATTCATAGGTAATGCCTATTTTGTTGGCATTATTGTGACTTTCGAGGTTTTCGAGTGGGTCAGTCACATCTGACCGCGGATTTTCCGCATTTATGATGGAACCATGGCTTCTGAAGGATTCTAAGTGTATAAACTGGCATGCCGAGGTTAGCAAGAGAGTAGCTGGATAACATCAGCAGTATCGTATTCCTTGTTTTTTTTATTGACGAAGTTGTTAGCTAAAAAATTTGTCCAGTAGAGCCCACAAGTAGCCATTTTAATGTTCTTGTCGTTCTCTTTCACCTGACATGCTGAGGTTTCGAGAATAGCGAAGTTGGAGAACAGAGAGAAGCATTTCTATTCTGTCTCTGCGATTCCCACCGCCTAGATTTTTAATGAATTCTTATTATACTGTCGAGATATACTGCTCTGTCCGACCAGCCCTCTGCTGATCTTCTCGGCGCTCTTGGTTCACGTCGTTTTGCCAGTCTTGTTACTGAATAGATTGTTAAGAAGAGTTCATGTTTCAGGATCCGTCTACAGGTCAGCCAGTGTCTGTAAATGTGAAAGTAGAGTTTAACGATTTGAATAAGGAAGGACATCTCCTCACCTTGTCGGTTCTTCCACATGTGCTTTTCGAGGTATGCATAAGTTACTTGTACATTTCTCTTTTTCGCGTCTCTTTTTCGCCCCAGAATTGTCCTGCTTCCTTTTAAGGTGCTACAGTCAAAATCTGTTCTGAATGATGCCCTCGTTAGTTTTGAAGCTGCTTTGCGGAAGTGGACTGAACCAGCTGAGCAAGAGACTTTCCGTACATACCTTGCTTGTATATTCGTTGTTGCTGGAGGCGAGGAGAATCCAATGAGTGAATTAAGCAAACTCGTGCAAACGCAACATACGCAACAGGTTTAGTTTCTTTCTGAGCGGTTTTTTATTTGCCAAATGTGTTTTTCTAAATTCCACTCTCTTTATTATAAGGAGCAGGGCTTAATCATTCCACCCACCAAAAGAATCATATTCAATTCATTCAATCTGGCGAGTGTTTCCGCCTCTCAAGGATTCATAATATTAAAACGCACGAGTTGCGCGGATGCGGGGCGGGGAGTTTGCAACCCCTTAAGCCGCAGAACTTTGTAAGAAACGGGCGCTGAGTAATCAAACCTGCTTTGGCCGCTTCATTCCTAGTAATCAAAAGCGAAACAAGCATACATCGAATACGCCTCATAAGCAGGCGGCTTCCCGTTCATGACGTCCGAAAACTTATATGATTACTTTTGAGAGGTATAGGTGTTCACTTAGTTCATCCTTTGGGCGTAACCACTGGAACGAAATTTCTAAATCAGTCCTTCCAATTTCCCTTACATCTTCGTTTCGTTTTTCTGTATATTGAAATTATAACAGTGTTTCGGCCCAAATGAATCTGTTGTTGAGCTCACTGAAATAATTTGAACCAATTCATTTGCTGATAACTACAGTCCATTTCGAAGAAGCTCGGATCGCCTATGCAGTTAACACATTATTCATACTGGTTGTATCCACAGCTTAGCCTTCAATATGCGGCCATTATTTTTTTATAATATCGGTTTGCGCAATACACAGTTCCTTTTTTCTTGCATTTTATCTTTCTGTTCTTCGAGCAAATAAGAAGCGAACCATAACACGACTAGATTATCCAGAGGTCTTCAAAAGCGATATAGTTTCTCTTATGTTGTGTTTTTGTAGAGGTTCTCGATGTCATCGACACTGCGATTGTCGTGACGAGCCCTTTATCAGCAGCGGTCGACTCCTCTTCCTCGCGTAGGTTCTCGAGAAGGTGGGGCATAGAAGTGTGTGCTTGTATTGAGCAGCATCACTCTATCTTTGGCTGACGTAAGGGACAGTTCACGACCTGCTCATATTTCTCTTTCTCCTCACAATAAAACTACTGTTACCAACAGAACCAATGTTCTGTCGTGTCAGATAGGACAAAACCCAGCGCTTCAGCACACGTTCGATCGCTCGACAGGAAACTGGTTTTTTTCATAATTCGTTCACTGATTTTCTCTTCTTATGGACATGAATGGGGCGGAGGTGATGTAGTGGCCAGTGACACGCTTACTACGCGCGCGGTCAGGAGGTCAAACCCCTGACCGGCTCCCGCAAGGCCAGCCAAGCCTCGAGAGGAGGTAAATCGGTACCATATTCGTGGAGAAGGATTAAAAAGAGTTGACTTCTACCTCGACCAGCCCCGAATATTATCGCATAAGCCACATAGCATCCAGCAAGCCCTACGGCTGATGGAAGTAGATGCGTGCCGCTTCCGAAAAAAGGATCGATCAGCGGCGAAGGTGTTACCTTTTTCCTTCCAAGGAACATGAAGCTCCTAATCTGAATAACTGATATAACAATAATAAAGGTTCACAAAACTTTCATTAATAAATCCTGTTACACAGGTCAATCATTGTTTGCATTTGTGTAGCAGGATTGCCTGGTAAATTTGTAAATTCAGAAGACACTATCAATGGTTTTAATCGTTTAGTTGTAGGTGAATTGATCATTTACCTGAAAGTGCTTTTTTATATGGTAGGTAGTATTGCGGTGAATGCGTGATATTCACTCAGGATAACGTGATTCAAACTAGACGGTAATTCACTTTATATCTGCGATTTACTTTAGAAATTTT